TGCAACAAATGAAATAAATAAAGAAGGTAATGGAAATTTGCATATCAATGTTACAAAACAAAAGTATTCTGTAAGGACATCTCAGAGATGATCTAATTTTTTCACATCGATGGACACCTGAGGCTGTTTTTGAGAACTACCGTGCCCTCTGGTTACATGCGATGGCGTGATCTAGTTTGTTAATGAACATAGAGAATTCATTGGAGAAGATTTGCAGTAGCACGTTGTGCATTCAATTTTACGCGCATAAAGATGCAAGCACTGTGTACCGGGCAATTGACGTTTGTTGTAATTGACCATAAGCTGTAGGAGCAAGCAAGGAGTCACTGACCCTTAGGAGAAAAATTTAATATCTGCGAGCTCTTATTCATCATATTAGCGTATCATTCATGATCTTCCATGGCCTGACAATAAGCAAAATTTCAGGAATGACACATACTCTGCTTCAGGGAGGTTGGAATGACTGCTTACGCAGGCTCTCTTTGTAATAGAGAAGATACGTGAATTTTGGAGATAACTACAGTGACTATACAGTGACGTTTTGCCATGACACAGCAAAATGCTTTACATGCCTTTAAGCACTATGATATTCTAAATTTAAAAACTAGAAAGGTAACATTTGCAAAGCAAATGCATAATGTTTCCCTTCGCATATGGTCTGCTTTTCTTACTCAAATTCATGTACATTCATATATATGGTCAGACACTAGTCTACATCCCTCCTATAAAATTGCAACATGATGTAACCCAACACCAGTTACCATGGTGACAGACATGAACAAATCAGGCCATTGGCCAGGTCAGAGGTTAGTGTTTGGAACAGAAGAAGAAGAAGAAACGTAGTATATTTTCCTTCGGTAAACATAATGAATGAATTGTTTAGTTAATAAAATACATTGCAGCCAAATATGGCTGAATTGTGTATTCCATACATATTATTTATCAAACAAAACGTCACAAAGGTCATCACACATTACTGTATCAAAACCTTTAGCACTATAAAATCAACTTCATACATACATTAGCTAGCCTATCACTTAGCTAAAGCACCGATTATATTATGACAATAAAATAAATGAGATAGACAATAACAGAATTTTAAGTATCGTACTGGAAGGACAATCTTGTAAAATTTGTTTTGTCTGATTCTGAATCTCCGCTTTCATAGGGTCTTGATTAATGCCTTCTTTCAGTCTGGTATCTGGATTATTTCTACTTCAACAAGTCACTTAATGAGGTACCAGCTGGTATTTCAGCATACGATTGGGCATTCTTCATACAGGGTCAGCTAGTAGTGGAAAACAGATTCAAGGTGATTGCTTACATGAAATGAACTATATTTTATGCTCGTTATTCATTTTGTATTTTTTATTCACATATATTTATTGAGTATTGGGCAAAAAGCAAAAGTTGCTTATATAACACCTTCTACTCAAAAACATACAACGAGTATATAAAACACATTGACAAGATACATGCATAATTACAAGGTGGGTAAAACCAAGATAGATACAAACAAGACAAGTTGGTGATCTATCAATTTTGTATTTGTTACTTCAACCTGTATTTTGTACATTGTATGTTCTTGCGCGAAGGATCGTATAAGCTCTTACGTGCTTTGCCATCCAATGCTCATAAATCCATGTGGATTAAATAAAAGAAATGAACTATATGAAAGGCATGTTTTCTATATATTATTCCAAACTGCAGTTTGGGAGAACAGGGAAATCAGTAAGCATATCGCTGATAATATTCTAGTTGCATCTGCTACTGAATGCATTATGTTACTTTAAATACAATTTCCAATTTCCGTTCGCAGTCATTTTGATACGAAATACGTTCTCAATCCGGAAACAAAGATATCGTAAAGATGAGCTGATCAAGTGATTTTTACAATGACACTAGAAGATTATTTTGGTCTAATCTGCTTTGCATAGAATTGCATATTAGGGTTGATTACGGTTTGTTCTGATTCCAATAGAAAATTAATTATATCCCCATATTTCTATAGGGATGTTGCAGGGTGTATTTTTTGTATTTTGAGGCACTGTGACTTGTGACCTAACGACAAAATTACGTCTTTCTTATATTTCTTTTTACCATAGGGTAATTGGTGTATGCATCACTGCGTGTAACTTAGTATATCCAATACCATGTTATCCTTACTAAACCTATAGAGCTTACAAGATTACTTAGCCAGACGATAATAATTTCCATTCATAGGTGTGGCTGTTTTCAATTTGTATACAATCTCATCTCTGCCTTGCTGTAACGTAGTTCAATACAGTATCCACCGGAATATTCGATTTTGTTTAGCCTCCATAGCATGCCAAAAACTGGGGGTTTTGGGGGGGTTATGTCATATTTTCTGATTGCATATAGACAACATAGCCGGCCTGGTTGAGTACCCCCGGTTTATGAACTGGGCTAATCAGAAAACAGCCGAAGACCACCAAATCCCCAGTTCTGTAAGCCTGTTACGGAGGCTAGATTTTGTTCTCTTTGTAACCCATGCGATGCATATGTCTAAGGTACAGGTACAGGTCTGAAGCAAGGATGGCACGGCAAGGCAAGTCATGCGGCCATGTAGGGCGTGTCATTCTGTGGATTGTGGCCATGGCAGCTGTGTTCTTTCAGGTATCCAGATGGTTTCTTTTCTCTATTTGAGATATTGTTACCACTGAGGTGGCAAATTCTCATTATTACGTTTGTAAAGTAGGGTGTCTTTGGAATATATTTTGATACGAGATGTTGCACATTGGTAGCTTTGAAGATGATTGCCAAATTGATGCCAGTGCTATCTATTCCTTTGCATTTACCAAATTTGTAATATCTTGCCATATGTTTACGAAAATGCTTGTGTGATATTTTTTTCATTCGTTGTTTTTTCTTCATGAAGGTTACAAACGGCCAGACCACTGAACTGCCACCGACCGACGGTGCGTCTGTGACAGAAACGCTGACAACTGCTGTCAGTGTGGGAGGTGAGAAAGTATTTCTTTTTGTCATTCGTTTAACTGTCTACTTCAAACCGAAGCATTTATTACTAAGGCCACACCAAGTAAATTTTATGGATGACGTCCGCGCGCGCATTAATTTTGGCCTGTTCCCCTGAAAAAAAAACAAGAAATTCTGCTTCCTGTAACTATGACCAATGAGTCAGGGCAGTGGGATAAGGGAAGATGTGATGAAAGGAAAGAAACAGGACAAGACGACAACTGCTGCTCCACTGATTTATTGCTGCTCTCATGACAAATAAAAGACCCGTTTCTGTCATTCAATTTGTGTCCTAACATTTGTCGTCCCTTAGTATATTTCAAATCTAGGCATCTTGCTTTTTTCGGCCCTTCTTGGTTTTTTTTTTCGCGCTCTCGCATTAGAGTTAGGGTCTCCAGAGGACGTCATCCATAAAATGACTTGGTGTTGCCTAATAGCCTGTCCCCATCCCCAAAATAACTTCATTCAATTCAACCTTAATTGTATCTTCTATGGCAGCGTAATAGCAGTACGGATGGTAGTCATTGGCAACAGTCTAAATACCCAACTACAGTCGCTGTGGAGATGTCTAATATTTTGTGGACAACCCGACTCCGCCCAAAATAACTTCATTCAATTCAATTTCATTGTATCTTGTATGGCAGCGTAATATCAGTATGGTAGTCATTGGCAACAGTCCAAATACCCAAATACCCAAGTCGCCGTGGAGATATCTAATATTTTGAGGGGATAATCTGATTTGAAAGCGCGTCCTCATTCTCGTCTATCCACATAATCCTCTCTGTGGCAGATCCAAATTACAATCTCATATTGAAATGTAGTCTGAAAGATAATTGTGTATTCATTGTATCGTTCCGTCGTTTTTTTATGTAACCACTGCTGGTGTCTTTTACTTGATTATTGTAGAAGCCTTACTCTCTTAGTCTTTTGTATCACCAGCCATCGGATCATTGTGTTAAAATTTCGTATGATGAAAATGATAAGGCGGCATTGCTAATGGTACAGATAAAGTCAGTGTCACTCAAGAAACCTATCTTCAAGAGCTAACGAAATAAAACTAGATCAAACGCACAATATACACAAATATCGTTATTATCGATATTTAGCGTTGGTGGACTGAACGAAGTGACACACCTTGCAGTGGAAGGAGCTTACGTTGGATACTCCCTAAACGTTTTAGACAAAGTATTTCTTATTTGAAAGAAAGTTCACCTGTGTTGGTAGAATACATAGTTGTAGAGTTCAAACTTTGTTCCAACACAGAAGAATAAACTTACCGTAAAGTAGGTTCTTTGTAGGGGATAGAAAATGACAGTGTTTCCTGGTAACGTACAGAAAACAACTCTACCGAAGGAAGGTTAGCTCAAACCTCAGAGGAATCCGCAACCACTGAGTTCTACTCCACTCAAAGCCCCGTCGGAACGACCGAGGGATCAAACATGCAAACTACGCAATCAACAACTAGGGTATCAACAGTCGAGGAAGACTTAGTGAGCACAGAAGCTATGACCAAGACAACGGACATTTTGGAAACCACCGAGTCAACATCGACTGAAGAAACAACAACAGATACATTAGCAGAAGAATATCTCTCGACAACCCGATCTGAAATCAAAGAAGCAACAGATTTAGTGAACACAGAAGCTATGACCCAAACGACGGACATTTTGGAAACTACATCGACTGAAGAAACAAAGACAACAACAGATACACTAGCAGAAGAATATCTCTCGACAACCCGATCTGAAATCAAAGAAACAACAGATTTAGTGAGCACAGAACCTATGACCCAGACGACGGACATTTTGGAAACTACTGACTCAACATCGACTGAAGAAACCGTGACAACAACAGATACGATAGCAGAAGAATATCTCTCGACAACCCGATCTGACATCAAAGATACAACATATTTAGTGAGCACAGAAGCTATGACACAGACGACGCACAATTTGGTAACTACTGACTCAACACCTACTGAAGAAACTGTGACAACAACAGATATGTTAGCAGAAGAATATCTCTCGACAACCCGATCTGAAATCAACGAAACAACAGATCTAGTGAACACAGAAGCTATGCTCCAAACAACGGACATTTTTGAAACTACTGACTCAACGTCGACTGAAGAAACCGTGACAACAACAGATGTGTTAGCAGAAGAATATCTCTCAACAACCCGATCTGAAATCAACGAAGCAACAGCCTCAACAGAGGTGGCAACGACTGAAGGTGATCCGACGGAGAGGACAATCATCTCGACTATCACCGCAACACTAACCTACCCATCAGAAGCAACAGAAGAAGCAGTTTCTACTGAGGTCACTGAGACAGAGTCGGCAACAACTGAGTCAGCTTCACTTGACTTCACGTCCACAGAGGTAACTTCAGTTCCAACTGAGTCAGAACAAGAAGTCACCGGCGAACCTATGACAACCCAAACAGTCCTCAACGAGGGAACGAGCACAGAAGAAGCAGTCTCAACTGAGAGCATGTCCACATGGTCAGTCTCGTATGAAGCCATTGGCACTGAAGAGTCAACTGAGGTCATGACAACGGAGTCAGTTCCAACTGAAGTTTTGAAGACAGAAGAACCTCTATCAACTGACGTTATGACCACGGAATCTATCTCAAACATAGCCATTAGCACTGAAGGCTCAACTGAGGTGATGACAACAGAGTCAGTTCACACTGAAGTTTTGCAGACAGAAGAGCCTCTATCAACTGACGTTATGGCTACGGGATCTATCTCAAACGAAGTCATTAGCACTCAAGACTCTATCTCAACTGAGTATATCACAACAGAGTCAGTTCCCACTGAATTAGTGCAGACAGAAGAAGCTAGATCAACTGACGTTATGACCACGCAATGGATCCCAAACGAAGCCATAGCCACTGTAGGCTCTGCCTCAACTGAGGTTATGGCAACGGAGTCAGTTCCAAATGAAGTCGTGTATACAGAAGAAGCTTTGTCAACCGAAATCATGACCACACTGTCAGTGTCGGGCGAAGTGATCCACACTGAAGACCCAGCCTCAACCGTCGATCTTAAAACACAGTCAGTCCCAACTGAGATCTTCAGTACAGGCAAGGCTGTCTCAACTGAGTTCACAACACCAGGATCAGTCACAGACAACGGCATGATAACTATTACAGAGCCATTGTTCAGAGATACGCTGGTAACACAAGAGGTGACCTCAACTGAGGCCTTCACAACAGAGGAGGGAGCTCCGGAAGAACTCTTGTCGACCACGATGGGAGCCCCGACAGAGCTTGCTACTACAACAAAACCGTCCACTGAATCAGATGTATTCGGAACAGTCACTGATGATCTGCTCACAGAAAGTCCAAAAGTCACAGTCGTCACACAACCACTCCAGATAGCTGGCACAACTTTCCCATCGGTTACAGCAACGGCAGCCTCTACACTTTACGATGTCAGCTCAAAGACGCCCCCTAGCGAGGGTACCATGTCAACGTCAGGATCTGGAACTGTAACTGATGAACCAGCTCCAACAGAGCTCGTGGAAGAAACCACGGTTACCTCGCCCACAGCTGTGCAAACATCATCCACAGAAGCCTTCTCATCTACAGCGTTAGACCAGGGACCATCCACAAATACCATGGAAACTACGCAGTCAGAAACATTGACAGAAGCGTCGCATGAACCAGTGACTATGTCAACAATTCCCGATGAAACGAGCCCTTCCACGGTGTTTAGGACATCGCCTGTATCCACGGATGCTGCAGACATCACTGAAGGTTACAGCACAACAACAGAGGATCTTACGGGCACAATCGTATCTACAGAAATCGACGAAACAGTGACAGATCAAAATATGGAACAGTCAACGATGGAAACCGTCGCTACAACAGAAGAAACGACTGATGATGGCGTCACTTCTACGACAGATATCGTCGCTACAACAACAGAAGAAAATGATATCGCGACTTCTGGAACACAACTTCCTCACACAGTCGCAACAACAAGGCAACCTACCTCCACAACCCCACAGACACCATTTCCAGACACCACCATAAGCCCAGTGGATGATGCCACTACCGAAATGACAATGATGACAACAGAAATGTTGCATTACGCATCTGTCCCAGCTACGGCCGTGGATAGTCTGACAACCCACCAGTCTGTGGACACAGTCGAACCTACTACAGAGACACTATCAGAAATGTCAAGTACAGAGACGGCAACTATAGCTTCCAGTACAACTATCAGCACGACTGAGTCTGTGGACACTGTCGAACCGACTGTACCAACAGAAACACCATCAGTAACGTCAAGTACAGACACGGCATCTACAGCTTCCAGTACAACTATTACAACGACTGCCCAACCTGAGACTACGACCATGCATACCACAGTCAGACCAACAGAGGAAGCAGGTACGCAACTACTCAAACTGGCGCACTGAGCTGTCCAGTATCTCCTGTTGTCCCACTTCTTCTCTCACTGGGCACTACTGGAGGTCGCTTTCAATAGGTTTGCACATCTTGGAGTAGTCAAACTGTCCAGTATCTCCAATATCTCCCTCTCTCACTGGGCACTGGAGATCCGTAGTGTTGCACATCTTGGCATAGTCAAACTCGCCTTCCGTACTTCTGCGGCAGTCTCTATATTCTGCTACTCTTCTCCTCTTCATCTAACCTAACCTAACCTAACCTGATCTCTCCTTCAGTATGAAAGACAAGGCATCTTGTGGTGCCCCTCATTGATATATGCCTCTCAGACCGCCTTATATGATTCAGTAAAAGTTGCCATTGGGCATTTTAGTTCTGGTTCTGCAAAACCTCATATTCTGACATATGAACATATCATACAGACAGGTTTCTACCAATTATTCCGCACATTTGTGCTGCAAAGAGCGGAATATGTTGTACAAGATAAAAAATTTTCATGCCAACTTTATATTAATTTCGTCTGGTTAGATGGATTAAAATTATCATTCTTATTTCAGACTGCATCAATGACATCTACATTTGTCACGAGAACGCGACGTGTGTCATTACAACATCCGGATTCGGATACGCCTGTGTCTGTAGGACAGGCTTTCAGGGAGATGGTCGAAACTGTACTGGTAAGCTTATCCCACATAATAGATGTGATGACATATTTGGTATGACGATCATGACGTACCGGTATGTACGTAGTATGCATTGTGATGGAAGATATACATATTTGACGCAGCAACATGACAGGGATGTAGTTTGTTGTAGACACAGTAAAAATTAGCTACATATACGTAAGAACATGTACCTGTTTCAGACATAGACGAGTGCTCTATACAGCCACCAGGGCCAGGTTTTGTACCTGGCCACGGTTGTTCTGATGTCTGTGTCAACACCATCGGGTCCTACCATTGCGCTTGTCCGGACTTTTTCACCTTGAAGGAGGACGGGAAAACGTGCGAAGGTAGACACATTTCCTCGTTACACACACAGGGGTTGCCTCTATTAGGCTTTGCGAGACGGAAAGAGTAGAAATTGACCAAATAGAGAGATAACACGCCGAGGGAGTTGTGATGCGGGTGCGGCAAAATTCGAAATGTACTTTCTAGCTGACCAACTCCGTCGGTATGTTATCTCTCTATTTGGCCATTTTCTACTGTTTCCAGTCGTCTCCCGAAGCCTGGTAGAGGCTAGCACGGGCGTATTTGGTTGCCTTTGTCACCAAGCATTTAAGTATTCAAGTGTTGCTTTACAGTCTAAGATACGTCTATCTTCTCTAATTGAATTCATTAATGCAGTATTTCCTTATGTATGCTTCACCTATGCTTGATAGTCATGATCCTGCTCTACAGTTGTACTTTAATCATTTTGTCTGAGGCAATATGCTCAATGCTAGACACCCTATGTTGAACTTTTGAAACTGATGTTGCAGTCTAAGTTATTGAGAGTATTGTCCAGATTTTTAATATTCAATTCTCTACATCAGGTCAGGAAACTTGTGAGGCCAGCGCGAACCCTTGCAGACCTACAGCCCACTCTAAATGTGCAGTCGCCAATGGGACACATGTTTGCAGCTGCTCCCCTGGCTTCGAGTTAGCGGCTAATGGTTACAGATGCGAAGGTACGGATTTTCTCTTCCCTACGATCTCTAAACATTACAACACTGTATGGGGTCGTGTTGCGCAACGGCAGCGTGCGAGACTCGGGATCAAGAGGTCCCGGGTTCGAGTCCCGACATGTCACCGATCTTGTGCCCTTGGGAAAGGCACTTTACACAACTTTCCTCACTACACTCAAGTGAAAATGAGTATGAATTTGCCACACATTTATATAGAATGATACATTTTTAAAGGTAAAGCTTTTATTCCAAAACAAAAGGGAAGTGTTCTCAAGTAAAGATTTAGACTAGTTTCTCTGGTCTTCCTCAGTAGACTGACCCAGTTAGAGTTGTCAAGTGTCTTCTCTAAAGTATGACGTCAACACTGGGTCAAAGGTATCTGGTAGACGATGTCGGCCCCCGTCGCGGTTGAGTGAAGGGTGATGGGCCCTGACGTAAATAGCTTCTTGTATTTTGACTTTGGAAGTCTAATAGTATGTATGTGACGCACTGTATGTATTGTTTTCTGTACTATTTTTGTCAATTAAGTTATTTAAAAAAAGTAAATAGCTTCTTCCACCCCTCTCAGAGAGTAGTCTTGTTCGGTGTCCAATATTCTTACAGTTTCCAGTACTTTATCTAACCAAAATAGAGTGTCAATCATCAGTGATGACCCTATTGCCTTACAGATACTGACGAATGTTCCTCTGGACACCATAACTGCCATGCATCTGCCCAGTGTACAAACACCTACGGCAGTTTCTCCTGCACATGCCTCGGTGGATATACTGGAGATGGAACCTCCTGTACAGGTATACCTTATACATCAGTGGTATATCAATCCTTTTCAACTATTATGAACGTTCATCTGTGTTGGTAGAAATCATAGTAAAATGTTGAACTTTATTCCAACACAACGATTACAGAGAGATTAAAGTTTCAACGACCACTGTCGCCTTCATCAGGATAATCATTTACCTTTTCAATTATTTTGAGTTTGCTTATATTCTAGAATGGGTTATTTATCCCATTTCTTTAATACCAAGAAAAAATTGAAAAAGCGTGCTAACTGCATTGAAATGTGCTAAAGATTGCAAGCAAACAATGATGCATTTTTACCAGATTGTGAAATCTGTCTATAGTAAATATATTCTCCTTCTGGTAAAAAAAAATGGGCAAATGGGCTGACACCCCCTTTGGCCCATTTTTTTTACCAAAACGTGTATCATCTATTCTCCTTCTGGTTCAAAAAATGGGCTTACACTTGCCCCACCAAGTTTACATAATAAAGGATTCACCACACCACGAAGTCCCAACAGCAGAAGGCATTGGAAGATCCCATTGCTGCAAGGGTCTAGACTGTTGGAACACTCCACATTTTGGACAGGGATGATTTAGGAACAGTCCATCTGTGCGGGAGGGGGATAGGTCCATTTTTGTACGGGGGATGTGGTGAAGCCATCTGATATATTACTCCAAAGCAAATGTCAGCCTTTCTAGAGTATGTTTTATATGTTTTCTCAGATGTGGATGAGTGCACCACGGGCACGGCTTCTTGTGATGAGAACGCCACCTGTAACAACACAGCTGGTTCCTACACCTGCACCTGTAAGGACAACTACGAGAGTACAGCACCTGAAGGCACCGGATTCACGGGCCAGTGCAGAGGTACATTGTGTCCAGACTTTTTCCATAATCACTTTTGGTCATCATTGAAAAACTCTTAATTTTATATCTTGGTCAAAGCTTCTTGGTTCATGTTTACATTCACGGTTGTCGTGATAGTAAGTAAGTTCTTTATTGTAAGTCCATGGCCGAGGGCTAATTGCAAACTAAGAACTGAGTACAAAATGCATTGAAGAATGATATAAAACCATGTGCCATAAAGTCGATAGTCAAGATAGTCACTATAGTCAAGTCAAAGTTTATTGCGCAACAATTGCATTTGATACAATGTATGGCAAATACCACTTGATAGCTATAAACTATTTCTACTAGTGTAATAATCTAACTTCATCATTCAGTACACGTATATGTCATAATGGAACACTACATTTCACATTGTTATGATACGGTTTCTTTTTTGTATAGCATTATGTATATATTGTCGACCTAGATAAACAGAGATATGACCCTGCCCTGTTAACGCTCGGACTATAAGGCATGTACCTGACTGTGTGTACTTACTAAACTTCATCATTATAATGCCCATATCTTAGCCACTGGCATCAAGTTGGCGAAGAACAGACTCGTTTTACATCTTTTTTATCTGTCTTTGTCAGAGGTTCGCCTGTTCCCGGATGGTCTGGCGGGACACTGGTTGTTCGGTAACGCTACAACAGAGGGGATGTCTCCGCTCATCGAAGTACCGGAGGGGCTGCCCATGCCTGGGGGACGACTGTGCAACTCTGTCTACGTAGGTTCAGCTTTCAATCAATCTATAGGTTATGATGACAATGACAATGATGTTTATTTGCACATTCATGCCCATGAGGGCTAAACGCATTACATGTGGGTTTACATGAGTCATACAAACACTAAGATTCTACAGAAGTGCTACACTACATCCATTGCAGACAGATGGATGAACATACCAGGCTAACATTGATATAGCTTACGTTTCTTCCCTCTTTTTAACACAGGTGCATACGAATCCACAGAGTTTTTGTTGTACACAAATAGATTGCTGTTTACATCGTGTGTCTACATTCAGGGCAAATAAAAAAGAATTAATATAAGGGGAAACTATTCATTACTTTACGGTGCAAGAGAAGACTACACTATAGAGCATTGAACAACCTGTGGACATTGTAGGCATAGGAATATTTCACAAAGCTTTGTCAAAAACCTCAGCTGAAAAAAAAACAGTTGAAAAAAATTCACAATCTTCGTTTAAAATCATATTTATATGAAAGTAAGATGGAATTGATGAATATTCCCCCAGCGAATTATACACAGCTGTCTAATGCTTCACACATGCCACAGAGAAAGATGTCAACTGAGCTCTAAAATTGAATAAAGACTGCGTAGATAATTTCGACTGATACATATACAAAAGCGTGCGTACCTAGATTCTAGCCCTCAACTACGGTGGCCCACAAGTGAACTTGTGGGCCAGCGTACTAAACTACTCTGTTTCTCTCTCTCTAGATCCTGGAGAATGGCGTGATTGTGATTACGACGTTGAAAGCTTCACAGCGCAGCGCCGCGAGACCGACCTACCGGCACCCCACTACTGACCCGGGCGCGTTCGGGGAAACCGTGTGCGGGGTCATCGCACCGTTCTGGGCTGACGTCGTCATGGGGGAGAACTATCCATCCAAGGTAAGGCCATGTTGATTGCCTTCGTCGAGAAGGCTATGAATAGTGTGGGAGACTATGCGGCATAACACTTTACGGCATGTTAAATGTTCATGATTTTTGGCAGGCAGGTTACCGTTGGGGAGACCAAGGTCAAGTTCAAAAATGGGCCTCGTGGGGGTCCCTACGTCACTGCAGTGGACGTTTTGTGTTTGTTGTTTTTATTGTGAACAGGATACTAGTAACACGAGTATATGTAAATGGGTGTTCTTGGTTTTTGGTCTAGTTTGACTATATGTGTATGACGCACGTCTACGCGAATGAATTTTCGTCCGTTAAAAAAAACGCGTTTTCGACCATACTGTAAATCGCACAAAGCAGCTATAAAATGAGCAAATATGTGCCGTAAATCAGATCAGTTGAGTGATCTACATGGATATATGCCAGACGATTCAGTTTTGTTCGTCTAATTTGATGCCTTTGATATCTTGTACCCTACAGGTCCGATACGAAGTGCACCAGGCTATAGGAAGGGTGACTTTCCGAGGACCACCTAGCAGAACACTGTCTCGATTATCTAGTCTTACAAGGTAGTTATTCCCCTTATTCTAACTCGAGTGAACATTGTAATGAAATACACCTGGTTCAGTTAATTTAACTACCAAGACTATGTGTCAATATTTGCCAGGCAGCTCTAATAGCTTGAACTTACTTACATGGAATAGCCTTTAAAAGTTATAATTTGTACATTTGAATTACTTGAAATCACTTCTATGGGACAAATATTAATTAATATTTTCATCTGGTTTCCCTTCTATGTAAGGACGGAGTTTGGGGGAAACAGTATGATGACGTACGCTCTTGTGGTCACGTGGAAGAACATGGCGATGGCAGGAGACCCGGCCAGAGATGGCATGCCGGTGAGCTTTTTGTTTGTTTGTTTGTTTGAACCTTTCTTTGTTGTTTGTTTGAACCTTTCTTTGTTGTTTTGCAAACCCAAATCTGTGACAGCACTGTTAAAATAGTCTCCATGCTATAATGTAGTATTGCCTGCATATATGCTGCATCTTCACTGATTATTAGTACTATTTATCATGGCTCCTAAATCCAGAATATTCCTGTTCTCATCTCCAGTATAGTATAGCTACGGCATCTCATTATGACAGTACATTATGTTCCTTACTATATTTCTTTTGTATTCTTTCGCTACGAGGGTCCATCTCACTTTAAAATTTACAAAACTGTAATATCGTCCACATAATTCAGACATATATTCACAGGTAATAATTCTAATAATTGATAGATCACCAACTTGTCTTGTTTACATTAATTTTTCTTCTATCCACTGTAATTATGTATTCGTCATTGCGTTTTACTCGTCTTTTATGTTCACATATATTTATGTTCAGGAGTAGAAGGCGTTATGTAAGCAATTATGCTTTTTGCCTGATACTCGTTAAACATGTAAATATGTGTGAATAAATGAAAAAAAATCTCTGTTCTCAGACCAACACTTTCCAGGCCATCCTTGTGACTGACCACAGGAAGACCTACGCCATTTACCTGTACGATGACCACAGGATGCAATGGGACCCACAGATAACCCAGGAAAACCTGGTGGGCGGGAAATGGCCGGCATTCGTGGGTTACATCATCCGGGGGACAACCGGGCAGTTGACTGTTGTCGAAGACGAGAATTCAAGGTATGATACATGTAACAAGAAAAAAAAAGAAACTAGAAAGGTAACATTTGAAAAGCATAATGTTTACCTTCGCATATGGTCTGCTCTGTTAATTCTTAAACTCAAACACATTCACAGTCAGACAGGAGTCTAAATCCCTCCTGCTATAAAATTGCAACATCATGTAACGTCTGGTTCAGGTCATTGACCTTATTGGTTTGGAGAAGAAGAGGAAACAGGGCAATAACAATATGTTTTCCTTCGGTAAACATGATAATATTTCAGGATGGTTGGTTCTGTTTTATTCTTTTGTTTTGTGTTTAGCAAGTTAAGAGAGAAAAGTTTGTCATAATAATGGATATGAAACACTTTTGCCGTGCGTGATAAAAGTCAGCTAGTTTAAGAGGATTGAAAGGTTCAGAAAATGACGTAACATGCGTGATGTAACCGATTTTGAAATAAATCGTGATAATGATATTCACAAAGTACTTTTCTATGTATTTCAAAATCGCTTAATGCAATCCGGCTTTATGAATTAAAAAAAGGCTTTGTACAAATACTGGCATCTAAAGACCCCTAAATACATCCCATCGGCATCGCACATGTCTCATTCTAGACATAAATCGACCCTGGAGAACGGCCAGAAGAACTGCACGCAGCCGAACGTGTACTGTCTGGACAGGAAGTCCGGAGGGAGCTCCATTGGGCCTGGCCGCTGGAGCTACAGGCTTGACGACAACGACGACTCCTACGTCAATCCCCGAAAACAGTGTATGAGCTGGTATCTGGTGGGTAGTACATACCTTGTCTTATGAAACCAGTTTGAACTGCAATATTTGACACAAGAATTTGGACGTACCCAAATTTTGTACAACTTCAGTTTTTGTCAAGGAATGAGCAATTCACCGCTTCCGTGACGTCACGCAGACAACACACATGACTCCGTGAGCAGTGGATCACAGGTTGCAGAAAGTCTGTGGCGCCCCCCGTCTCTGATAAGGGATGGTTAACCGGTTGTAATGCCCTTGTCCGTGCGCATAATTAACAAAAGCAACCTAAAACTATGAGAATCATCTCTAGTCCCCCTCTTATGCAACTGAATGCAATTCTTAACCATGTGTTGTTCAAAAAATTTGATAGGAAAAGCAAATACTTAGAAAGATGTTTTCTACGATACAAAAGTCTAAGCTTTTGTTGTTGGTTTGTATGTTGCTGTTTTCGGACCAATTCTTTCACAATGTTTGCCTCTCAGGATCGAATTCGAAGCGAACTGCTTCGTTCTAAAAAAGAGATTGATCTACTACGTCTAAATATACGTCAACAGGTGCAGGCTGACGTCACCAGGTTCGGTCCGCTTCCTCCATGTCCGACCACCGCTGCGCATGCCCAGTTGGACGCCCAATGGAAGGCTGCCTCTGACGTCAGTTCCGGTGATCGGCTTTGCTTTGACCTCAACCGACCTTTGTCGTCATCATTAGGTACGTAAAGGTTGAAGACATCCAGCGCGATTTCAGGGCAGCAAAACTGTAAATATTCCGAAGAAGGCAATCTTTGGGATATTGACACATACTGCTTCACATCAACACATTTGAGTCAGTGTTTCAGGCTTTGGGCAATTAAAACTGCAGAAACAAGCCCCAAGATGATTCCTTTATTTTCTGGGTGGTGCCCTAAAAATCAGAACAGGGCCCTTCCAGTAACCATTTTCCGTTGGAATTTTGGGAATTTTTACTTCATGAGGGTCAATATACATATACATTGGGGCAGTGTGGTTTTAACTCACTTTGTAGGTAAATGGCTAGAATATTGGCTTTGAAAAAAAATCGTGTTTCCAAGCCCTAAAATCTGCACTGGATGCCTTTGAAGTTTCGAGAAGGCAACCTATCTTCAACCTATTTTATCTTTCGCCTTGTTCCTTTCTTTTTACATTGCCCATACTTTCGATGCAGGTGGCAACATGCTGTGCTGTTACCAAATGCCAGAGGGCGCTTTCATAAGAAACAACCGAGAGCGGTCGGGAACGTTTGAAAGGTATCAAAGGGTAAGTTAGCGACGAACAATATCATACTAACATTAGTGGGTGTAAAATGATTTGTATCTTCAAATAAGTATCGACATCTAAACCGTTGTGCGCTGCAGTAAAAATATTGGAAATTGGGATTTTCTTATACACAACAAGTATACTGTCTCTTACCTTGCTTAAGTCAAGTTCAGTCATGAACCGGGACGAGGGGCGATACAAACTTAGCCATGTTTAGGATTGTGTTCTCGCTGCAAATCGCCACCTACATCGGCAGAACTCCAGTCAGAAGCTCTGAGGAAGGTGTCTGCCAGATATCGAAAATCAGACGCCGAAACGTAAGCAAGGCTAAATAGTCAGCACTGATTGTGAAAAAGGAAATTCCAATATCCCATGTTCTACCAACCTGATGAAACTATTTTCGGGAAGTAGACATGTTTTCTGTGTAAGCAGGCATCAGCTGATGACATCCAAGCGCGTGAATCCTGTTGTCTGGACTACGGGAGCAAGTATTGTGACATGTACTTCGAGAGACGACCGATGGGATTCACTGAGGGATACGTTCCACCGCGGACATGTAAGCATCTATGATTTTGTACTCATATTTGCATGTACAGATACTATCCTTGATCTTTGCCTTTCTACCGAGTTTTCCGATGCATGAAAAGCAAGTACCGATACTGATCAGACAACCATTGCAGACACTATTATATCAGGTCAAGTCAGAAAGAGCTAGATTGTCGCAGAGTCATGTAATATCATTTACCCTTTTCATCACATGATTATCTCAAAAGTCTAGACAGTCCGGAAGCCATGTTATACTTCATGTTTGGGTGGTTATTTAATTGCAGAATATAACAGTCTGTCGAGGTTTTGATCGATCATTTTAGACAAATAAAACAATAAGACAAACAAAACAATAAATTACATATCGCTTCTTCCAGCGGCTGCAGCAGGAGATCCGCACATTCTGACCTTGGACCGAGTCAGATATTCGTTCAACGGCCTCGGGGAGTACCTACTCTGTCAAACAACGCCCTCTACCGCTTTATCCCAGACTGCAGCGATTTTTTCCTTGCAGGGCAGAACCCAGCTTGTGGACGTAGAACCGGGAAAAACTCCGAGAGCAACCGTCTTTAGGTGATTTTTTACATTGATCTTCAGTACATCATGCATATATCTATATTAAATGTAAACCTCCACTGATATGGCATAGTTTCCTCCGTAGTTGATACGAAGTTGCTTGGAGGTTCAACATTCAAGGCAAAAAGTTGTGAAAATCCATTTACATAAATTTTACAAACGAACAAAGCCAGCGCTTAATACTATAAATCCATATCTCTACAGTTAATGAATGAAGATCATTATTGCACATTTTGTCACACTTGGCTAAGTACAGGTCACAACAAAACAAGATGAATGGACATGATTAACAGATACAAAATTAACTAACTATCGTTATATAAATTCAACATCTCCTCGTTTTTCAGTTATTGTGGAAATAAAGGAACAGATCTGTTTTTCGATAGGCGGTTTGTCTAGTTGCATTAGGAATATAGATTGTAATGATATAAATCCATATTTCTACAGCAAATGTAAATAGGTGTAATATCATCAGTAAACGACTGTATGGTGGTTAATGGAGTTTAAAAGAGTACAACGTGCAACGTGCAACACATGTACAATGAAATTCACCATTTCTGTGTGTGCTTTTACCTCATAGTGCCATTGCTGCACGCTCAGTGGCCAACAGTGTACAGGTTTACCTGGACGAGACGGGGGAAGCGCTAAACATCATGATTAATGACGCCAACATGACGTATGCCCAGTATCATGGCGGTCAGGACACCTTCGACGACGGACGACTGGTGATGACCACAGGTCTGTTTTAATATTAAAGTTTATATATTGCAAATTCCTGTCCGAAGGCTAATTGCAAATAACAAACACAAAACAACATTGACACTCACACTCGGAGTACAAAATAACTTCAAACTCTACAAAATAAAAGATTAGTACGTAATTGTGGCTATGTGACTATGGCTATGTCTAAAACTATGTCTGAAGGGTTTGACTTCTCTTTTGCAAACCATGGAGGACGTAATGTCCCACCTTTTCCAATTTTTTTGCTTTGTAGGTTTACCAAAATTGGAATAAATTGTAGAAGTCTGAATAGACAACTCATTTTGAGCTTTGTTATGAAACGAACAGTTTGAGATTAAGTTAATGTAAAAGATACCTTAACAATTAGTAGAATATTTTCCTCAATCAGTGACTGTTTTGAAAGGTAGCAAACACGTACCTCCAAATTTTCCATGTCCACTGTACATCTTGATCACGGACGGTGACCTAGTCTCGTGAGAACACGAGACTAGATCGTACAGTAGATGCTGAAAATTTGGAGGTACACATGTACGTGTTTGCTCCCTTCCAGAACAGTCACAGTGATTGGTTAATATTCTACAAACTGTTAATTATCTATACGTGACTGATGAACCTCTTCAACAAAACTATTGTTACTTCTACAAGCTTTCGTACTTTACCACCTATACGCTAAAGTTAATGTTTTTATAAACTAAGAAGATACATACAAAAGAGTTTAGTCGCCAGAGCCAATTTTTATTACAAATCAACATTTTCGTGTCTCTTTTCTGTTTTTTTGTTCTCTTCTTTTTTTTTATTGTCATTCAACAGTATGAGTATGATATTTTTTTTCCATTTTGGTTTAGAATTTCAGTAAACCACTGGTTGCTATTGCTGTTTATATCCAGCTCTCTCTGTTTTTCTTCAGACTCGGAAGGCAACGTCACATCCGTTAAAGTGATATTCAACATCGGAGTATCAGTTGAAGTAAAGGCCGGATACCAAATGTTGACCTACACCGCCATTATGCCCTCTGACCTCATGGGGAACCTGCAAGGGATGATGGGAAACTTCAACGACGACATGACGGATGAATTCCATTGGCCAAACGGGACAGCTGTTGAGTTTTCCAATGATACTAACCCTACAGAAGAGGAACTATACGTCTTTGGGGAGTCATGTACGTCTATTGGTATAGCCACTAGTTCAGAAACGCCGCCTGTCTGTTGCCATTATGTTTGCATTTCTGTCCCTCCGACTTATCACTAATATTCATCAGTTGGGACTGTCCCTATTATGCTTATGTAATATGTCAGCACAATTTCTTCATGGCATTTTGCTGGTGGTTTTTATGTTTACCATTGCAGAAGGAAAACATATTGTTTTTTGATCTGTTGCTGCTGCTTCTTTCTCTTCTTCTTCCTTTCCAAACAAATAAAGTCAATGACCTGGACCAGATGGCTGTCACCATGGTAACTGGTGCTGTAGCAGACACCCTGTAGTGTTGGGTTACGTAATTGAGCAAGTACCGTGCAGAACCGAGTTCAAGAGTGGCTGCATTGTCACCATATATCGATGTGTTTTTGTAAGAATAAGTGGTTAAGCTGGTTTATGCGAAGGTAAACATCATGCATTTGCTTGCAAATGTTACCTTTCTATTTACGGTTTACTTCTTCCCTTAGGGTCTCTGAAGAGTGTGGCAAAACTCAGGATGGAGGACGTCGCGAATCTCACCCTCTTCCACTCCTACCCCGGCGGCCAATCAGCGGCGACGTACGGAAACGACAGCTTCACCCCGCTGTTCTTTGACCTTGACGCCATGTTTGAGAACGCCACGGAGAGACAACGGGCAGTTCAGGTATCTGTATTGTTTGTTTATTTCGATCTCCATTAGTATGTCATTGATTAATTCCATACTTTTCCTGGAGTCCACATAAAATAGAATAACAAATGATAATAACATGATATTGATAATAATAATTACTTTTAGCAATAATGATAATAAATAAAACATAAAAAATTATGTTGAATTTATGACAAACTTGAAACAAAATCAGCATAGAGAAATAAAAGTGCGTTGGAGATCAGAGGTCAAATAATAGAAATAATATGTTTGAAATGAGAGTAATAATCGATGTACTTGTCCAATCAATGGGAAATTGAAGAAACAAAACTGTAAACAAATATTTGAATTGACATAAATGATAACAAAATATTAATAACTCAAATGCAACAATCTATATGCAACCCAATATGATTCCTATAAATCAATCTGTGTCTGTATAGTCAGTATAGCCACCCTTCAGCGTAACACACTAGCTTCGCAGGCACGCAGCGCGACGGCAGCTGCTATATTACAACGAACGACCTATTACACCCAATCTTTGCACATTTAATTGCAGGAATGAAAGCTTTCTACTGATGATGCCCCAACTGTGCTTGTTGGCAACGAGTTCCACTCTACGATAGTTCTTAGAAAATACGAGTTTCTGACCACCTTAATTCTTGGTCCGTGAATATATAGTTTCATCAGGTTGGTTAGTTACGGAGTAAAGAGACTCTTCTTTTACACAACCGAGTGTTTTATTCACAACCAACATTTCGATGACTGTCTGTCACCTTCCTCAAGGCAATTCTGACTGGTTCACATTGCACTGCAGCACAGGTGTAACCACATATATGTGTAGATATTGTAAATATTGTACGTTTGGGAATGCATCTATAGCAGCGACACCTGTGCTGCTGTGCAATGTGAACCAGTCAGAATTGCCCCGAGAAAGGTGACAGACGGTCACCGAAACGTCGGCTGTGAATAAAACACTTGGTTGTGTAAAAAGAGCTTCTTTAATCACCTCAATTCTTGTTTGATGACTCTGATATTTGACTGTTTCAGGTGTGTGGCGGTGCAGACAAGAAGGAGTGTCTGTTCGACATCGCGCTGACGGGGAATGAGGAGGTGGGAGTGGCTGCCGAACAGGGCATGAAGAGCGCAGAGATATCTAACAACGTCCTAGGTGGGATCTGCTTACTTGACAATTTGGCCATGTTGATTTGATTATATGGATGACATCCTCTGGGAACGCCAAAACTAATGCGAGTGTGCCCAAATAAAAACAAGTTTGGCCCAAAGAAAGTTGCCCCCATCATGAAATCTAGGTGGTCATGAAGGTTGAACAAATGACTAAACACACAGAGTAATATTTTATTGGAATAGACTCTTCAATTTCTTATCCTTTGTAATGGATTTTTCCAATATTTTTTTTCAAATATATTTTCTCAATTTGCAACCACTTTGTACGATTTACAGTATGGTCGAAAACGTTTTTCGGAAACAGACGAAAATTCATTCGCGCGTGGATGTCATCCATATAATCGAATGGACGTGTCCTGAAAAAAAGAAAATTAAAGAAGTAGAAAGGCACCCAAAGCGATTTCAGGGCAATAAAACTGGATTTCGAACTTTGTTAATGTTTTTAGAATTATTAATGTAGTAAGTTGAATTAACCCTATCCCATGGCATACTGATATCTGTGATTCAAAAAATGCGATTTTGCTGACAGAAAATGGTTGAATCGTAATTATTTATAATTATTGCTGGTACTATTTATGTGCCTAGAAGCCTATTAAGCACTAGTATATGTTGTGTTTATTTGATTGTTTGTTTGTTTGTTGTTCTGAAGGTAATACCCCTCCAAGACTGAACGTGACGTCAGAAATCAGAGCTGTGGTTGGTCAGGAATTCTCCTTACACATTACCGTAGAGGATGATGGTCAGGTTTCCGTCTCACTCTCTGGGCCTGGCGAAATAGACGCAAACAACACTTACAGGTAAGGACGTTTTTATGTTTACTATTTTTGCTCAGTTTCCTCTTCTTCTCAAAACAAAAAAGGTCAATGACTTGAACCAGACGTCTGTCTCCATGGCAACTAGTGCTGGGTTACATCATATTGCAATTTTATAGCAGGAGGTATTTAGACACCTGAACCAGACGTCTGTCACCATGGTAACTAGTGCTGGGTTACATCATGTTGTAATTTTATAGCAGGGAGGATTTAGACACCTGAACCAGACGTCTGTCACCATGGTAACTGGTGTTGGGTTATATCATGTTGCAATTTTATAGCAGGGAGGATTTAGACACCTGAATCAGACGTCTGTCACCATGGTAACTGGTGTTGGGTTATATCATGTTGCAATTTTATAACAGGAGGGATTTAGACTCCTGTCACCATATTTTCATATTTGAGAGACCTTTCGTTACTATACACTTCTATTTTTACACTTCTAAATCCCATGTTGCTTGTCTGTTTTGATTTACGACCAAAAATTTAACTATTAAGTAGTATCTTTCTGAAGAGTAAGCGCTTAAATCTTTTCCTTCAAAGATGGACTCCTGAAGACACGGAAAACGTCACGATCACGCTCCTCGCGCAAGACGACATGGGCGCCATCACCATGGCAACGCCTGACGTCACGGTGTGCAACTGTCAAAATGGCGGCGCGTGTGACTGGGACGTGACGTCACCGCGGGTGGCGGGGTTTGCTGTGGCCCAGTGCGCATGTCCCCTGGGGTACACCGGGACGTTCTGCGAAACTGACTTTGACGGCTGCTCCATCGCGCCCTGTTACCCAGGTGAGGAAAGGAAAACGTTCAACTGTATATTTGTATTAATGATAGTAAAAACAAATGTAATTGTATATTTTTATTTATTTATTTAGATGTACATATTTATTAATCTTTGAAACACATGGGTAGTCCTTTCAGTGGTTGAAGGCTGATTTCCAATGGAGCCCATGGAAACATGATACAAGAAAGCAGTATAACTGTGTTACATAGAATAATTATGAAACATAAGAATACAAGTATATCAATTAGACAGCAAAGGAATCCGAAAACCATAATCAAAGTACAAAATGATTAACAGTCAGTGGTGTTTGAGATGGTCAGAGGTCAAATTCTGAATAATACAAACTTAGGAATGGTAGAACATGAAGTACAGTACTTGAACATAGGAGTATAGTAAACCAAGAAAAGTAACAACCGACCAGAAGATCTAGAGTGGCCTATGGTATTATATATGGAGCATCTTTGGCTCCTAGCCTCTGTTTATAATGAACCGTTCTGCTTCTACCACAGGTGTGAATTGCACGGACTCCCAGGCACCCCTTGACGCAGGTGAGAACGAGTACACCTGTGGTACCTGTCCAACAGGTATGGTGGGAGACGGAGAGTATTGCTCAGGTGAGAGACCATAAAAAAGTAAAAGTCAAACTTTACTGTACAATAATTGTAACAGGTAGAGTGTATGGTTAGCTCTTCAGAGATACTACATATCTAGCAGATATCTACTCTAACGTCTACAGTAATGCTTATATGTTCTATGTTCTACGCACACTATTATAATACTATTTCATAATTTATATATAATTATTATTTTAATTATAATTATTATTATAATTTCATACTGCTACCATATATACAACGTATACACGCCAGTTGTATTTGTACAAACCATTTTCAGATGGGCAGTACCTTTGGATATGGCACATTTATTTAATTTCATAATTTCATTTCATTTATTTATTTTATCATGAGATACACTCTCAGGGCAAACCCCTGTTTTAGGAGATCTTTGGAATACTAACATTAAAATACAAAATACTCGTAAAACAAAATACATTGGTACTTGCTGTCTAAGAACGTAAAGCATCAACCAAGAGTATTACACATTATTAACCATGTTTTCAATTTCTACAGACCTCAACGAATGTATTTTACCGAGTGACGATCCGAAAGTACACGCATGCGTGAACGCGGTCTGTCACAATACGGCTCCAGGGTACAGGTGCGAATGTCACCCTGGGTACGAGATGACCGATGACGAACGAACATGCCAAGGTAAGATGGCGGGGGTACCCGTCATTATTTGACCGTATAATTGACATGCATGTATTATATGCCACAAACTAGAAAGGTAACATTTGCAATGGTCAGACAGCAGTCTAAATCCCTCCTACTATAAAATTGCAACATGATGTAACCCTCTTCTTCTTCCTTGGGATGCCCAGACCTGACACCAGTTACGATGGTGACAGACGTCTGGTTCAGAGACGGTTTTATACGGTTTTATAAATCTTATTGTTTTGGAGAAGAAGAAGGGGAAACAGAGCTAAAACAATATGTTTTTCTTCGGTAAACATAAATACAACTATTTGAAACTTTTGTCGTTACTTTTCAGACATCAACGAGTGTGCTACAGAGAGTCACGACTGTCATGAGCATGCGCAGTGTAATAACACGGCCGGGGGTTTTACTTGCGCCTGCGCAGAAGGTTTCACGGGCGACGGGCGATCCTGTAGAGGTACGTCATTTCCGGTCAATGATTACTTTTCAAGTTGCTTTCATTTGATTTCATCGCATAGAGTCTTCAGTTTAGGCTGCAATGATGAAAACACATAGTGTGCGTTTGTGTAATCTATAGAATATTGACCTTTCCTTCTCATGTTTGTTTAAAGCGATATTATGTAAGATTTTGCCACTATTTTAAACATCGTTGTTTTACACATCTTCTTGCACTATAAGCCTACCTGGGTTCATAATGACATTTGGGGAGTAAAAGATCAACGTCGTTGCGCCGCAAAGAACGTGTTGGAAAACTGCCAACTCCTCGGTGCTAGCGCGAATCGCGGCCATGTTGTTTGTTTACATTCTTTTTATGAGCTTCCTAAAATACAGCGGGCGCAACTTATTCTCGCTCTGGGCTGAGTTGCCGGAAAAGCGAAATAGCGACGCTAGTATGTTTAAAGTTAGTGAAAATGACAATTTAGATGAGAAAATTTCAATTAATTGTATTACACTTTTGGCACAAACATCCCTTTGAAGCAAACCACTATCATATATAGTTGCCTATATTTTCTCTATGTCCAACACTAGATGTTGATGAATGTGTTGCTGCTTCATCTGAAGAGGAGTGCAGTGACGTTTGCGTCAATACTGTCGGGAGCTTCTACTGCGCATGCACGAGTGGATATACTCTTGGCAACGACATGCGATCCTGCGTCGGTGAGTTTTTTCTCACTTTTTGCGAAATATCAAAATGTGAACAAAATTAAGATTAATGAAATATTCTACGGAGAAATAATGCGAAAACGTCACTCTGTATTTTTTCCCGAAATTATGTACATTTCTTCTCAGTTTTATACTCGGTTCAACGTCATCACAAACCAAACGACTGAAGGTTGTTTTTTTGTTTGTTTGTTTGTTTGTTACGTACAGATACCGACGAGTGTGCCATGGATACTGACGGCTGTTCCCATGTCTGTACGAACACCGTTGGTGCTTTTAACTGCAGCTGTCCGGACGATTTCGCCCTGGGCTCGGACGGCAAAACTTGTCAAGGTAGGTGCATGTATGCATACATGTACCAGAAAATTAAATCAGCTATTGCTGTTAAGAGTTGGCCTGGGACCAAACCTTTGGTCGGCTTGTGGGTGATTTTCCTACCGCACCGATTTTCCTAAGTACAGGCGAGCTATACCTACGGACCTATCTCTAAATGGTTTCCCTTTATCCGCTGACTTCCTGTATTACGCTTCTTCTATTGCGCGCCGACCCAAAGTGAGCAAGGAAACCTAACCCGCCTGCATGAAGCTACCCCCGGCACGCGGTAATTACCTCCATGAAAAATGGAGGTATTGTTTTTGGCGCGTCTGTGTGTGTATATGTATGTGTGTGTGTGTGTGTGTGTGTGTGTGTGTGTGTGTGTGTGTTTCCGCACATTTGTAGTCAGCATAACTTCAGAACGCCTTTATGGATTGTGATGATATTTGGTATGCTGGTAGGTCTTAGGAAGCCAAAGGTCAAGGACAAATATGGGCCTCCTGGTGGCTGACCTTGGTACTGCAGCAAAACTTCCGGGAAAACAGATGTGCGGGGTGGAGGCAGTGCCTGCCCGGTTTGATTAATGAGGCTCTCCCTCTGGAATAGCCTACATGACCATATTCAGGCCAAAGGTGCTACTATGTGTTTAAAAACAAAAACCTGTGTTATTTTGTTCTGTACCGTAGTGTACTGTGTAAAAACATTTAGAAAAACTCATATAATTCATGGAGGTATGAGATCTCCAAATTCTTGTTGGGACCTGGTTTGGCGGCCCTTGACGCTACCAGCGCCGACGAAACAGCGCTAAGCTCACGGGGGTCTGGCTACCAGGCTAGTCAAAAGTACACAAAAGTTATTTGTGCCATGTTTTGCATGATGTATAAACGTGTACTACTGCCTTCCAGCTTCCGAACCGTGCCTCAACACAACCTGCTCTCCCAGTGACCTAGCCTTCTGCGCGGTGGTCGCTGGGAACGAAACATGCAGCTGTGCCGATGGTTACAGACTTAACTCCAACGGAACATTGTGTGAAGGTGAATCAACTTTTTTATTTCTCTCTGCATCACCCTTCCACGAAAACGTTTATACCACAAGTTGAATAGACTTTCCATTTACTGTACGAATCAAAACGAATTTGAGTTAAATTTGAGTCACATTTGACCCCCGAACACGCCCCAAACTCTGCTGACTTACAGCCGATCTCCAGTCAAAGCAACCATGTTCAATTTGCTGTATGGAATGCCCTGTATCTCTGTATCCATGATAATGCAGAATTATATACACTCCAAGATGAAGAAAAAAAAACACAGTTCTAAAGGTAAGAAATTTTTGCTCGCAGATATCGACGAATGTGAAACGTCTGACAACTGCCAAGGAACCAACGTCTTGTGCAGGAACATGCCTGGAAGTTACGTCTGCACGTGTGCAAGCGGATTTTATGCACAAAGCTTGAACGGGTCCATAACATGCACGGGTTAGTATCTCCATTTTATTTTTCTTCGTTTTCGGTCTACTAATTCGCATCAAATTGTAGTTATGTACCAGTAGATGCCATACTTTCCACCCTGCACAATTGTTGTGCAATAAATGTTTAGAGTTAAAACTTTTGGTCCAACACAAAAAAACTTCTCTCACCTAGAGCTTTCGACCAGTCACTCTAGCCTTCCAGTAGACTGACCGAGTGAAGCTTGCCACGTGCCTTCTTTGAAGTGTGACTTCAATACTGGGTCAAAGGTATTTGGTAGACGATGTCGGCCCCCGTCGCGGTGAAGGGTGGTGGGCCCTGATATATATGGCCTCCTTCACCCCTCTCAATAAAAGAGCAATAAAGAAGTTATTATTATCTCTTGCTTCTGTATAGTGCTTGAACACATAACTTAGTATATCAAACGTTTTGAAAATTGAACATTTGACAAAGATTTCCCGATACATATGGACAGGGAAGTATGAAAAAAATACATTACCCTTTGTGCCTTTGTTTGAATATACTACATGTTCCCTAACGATGAAACTTATTTGTAGATTATTAACTTTGTTCTTTTGCAGAATCTAAGACATATGAAGCTGAAATCCGGGTCACAAACCAAGTATTCACCGCTGAGCTTAGAGACCCAACATCCAGTCAGTACAAAACAATGAAGGCGAAAGCAGGAAGAACCGTAAGTGTATTTGATTCTTCGAGAAAAAATGATGTCAATGATATATAGGACAACTTCAATCAATCAATCAATCAATCAATCAATCAAATGGTTTATTCATAAAAAAACAAGAACTTTGCAGCGATAGGCTCAATTACTTTTTGTTGTACATTGATATTATTTGGCAGTTAATATCAACATGAATATGGTTCATAAAGTCATGCATTGATATGCAGTATCTATATTGGATTGTTATTAAGACGAAATAAAAAAATGGGATATAAGATGGATAAAAAACTTGTTTCTGACACAATGTTTCCATATTCGTATTTATTTAATATCCATTTATCTATTTACATATATTTTTAGATATATGTAAAAGAGTATCAAGCAAAAAGTACAATTGCTTATTATATATAGCACCTTCTACCCGAGAACATGAATACAAAGAGAAAAACACAATGACAAATTCTTATTTGTGTGTGTATAAAGGATGGCTGACTGACGCTTTTTTGTTATAAACACAGTTACAAATGTTGTATAAGTCAGTGATGGGCAACAGTTTCCTGGGTGTAACCGTGGACGGGTTTAAGAACGGGAGCGTTGTCGTCATCTTCACCTTAAACCTGGCGTCCAACACCACCCACAATGCATCATCGTCTGAGCAGGCGCTCAGAGAGGCCATCGCGTCCTCGGGTGGGGGCGAGCTGATAGTGGACGCGAGTAGCGTCACAGTTACAGGTGAGATAACATTAACTGTCATTATTCTTAGCATGAAAGTTCACCTGTGTTGGTACAAGTCATCATGAAATACACAACTTTCTTTGCCAACACTGGAATAAATTGGGACTTACCCCAAATTTTCGGCTGACTCCTTCAAAACTTATTCACGGAATGGACCCGTCTACTCTTGGAACGTGACGTCAGAGACACGTGATTGCAGTAGCGGGTCATACGTGCCAGATAACTTGTGTCGCCCCCCGTCTCTGTTCAGGGTATGTCTGTGAGCTCTTATGTAGACCACCGCCTTTATTCCTCTTGCAAAGAAGTCTGACCCATTATTCTGTCATTTATCTGTAACATTGTAAAGCCGCCTGTTGGAGAAACTTCATTCACCGAAATGCTAAAGAACCCACCACACTTGTCCATTAATCTCCAAGCAGATCCGAAGGTGGCAAGACAGTATCCATTGGCAAGGTGGCTACTGGACATTCCTCTGTACAATGGGTACTGCCTTGTCACCATAGGATCTGCTTGGATATTACTTGTCAATATTTTTAAAAATCTGTTTAAGTGTATGTGGTGGTCCGAATCGGGCAATCTCGTACCCAGCTTGAACTAAACTACAAGAAAAGGATGGATGTAATCAAGGAGCTTCCAATCTAGATTTTAAGCTCGTTGATATAAGATACCGAATTGTGATAAACAAACAAACAAACAAACAACCAAACAATCCAGTAGGGTCATCCGAAATTTTTTATCTGCAGACATAGATGAATGTGCCAGTGACGTCACCAACCTGTGCCACGTCAATGCGGACTGTACCAACACGGACGGGGGGTACAGCTGTACCTGTATTGATGGTTACTCCGACGTGTCCGAAGGGGGCAGCATCTCAGGATCCACCTGTCAAGGTAATGGAAGCGTCCCGAATTTTATGGTGCTCTGCCGAGGCAATCTATAACGTTTATCTATAACATTGAATTGGGTCTTTTCTCCCAACAGCTGCTTGGAGGTCAGCTAAGCAAGCTAAAAGTTACAGGCAAAGCTAATATGTACTAGAAGGGTAACATTTGCAAAGCAAATGCATAAAGTTTGCCTTCGCATATGGTCTGCTCTGCTAGTATATGGTCAGACAGGGGTCTAAATCCTTCTTGCTATAAAATTGCAACATGATGTAACCCAACACCAGTTACCATGGTGACAGACGCCGGGTTGAGGTCATTGACCTTATTGGTTTGGAGAAAAAAGAAGAAGAGGAAACAGAGCAAAAATATTGTGTTCCTTTGGTAAACATAATGTCGAATTCCTGAATTGTGTGTATCACAGGATAATTTTCTTCCTTCGATGTTTGCAGCCACCCCCACCCCGACCCCTGCAGCGTCCCAGGTCAGGAGACTGGATACCTCCGCCATCCTCATCACGCTCGGCGTGCTGTGTACCATCGTCATCTGCCTCATCCTCGTCATCAAGATCAAAAAGGTGGGTTAAAATTAAAGCAGGGTCGTGTGGCGTAATGACAGAGTGCTCGACTCGGAACCAAGAACCTGGGTTCGAGTCCTGACATGCCACCGATTTTATGCCCTTCAGAAAGGCACTTTACACGACTTTCCTCACTTAACTCAAGTGAAAATGAGTATTGTCCTGTATTTGTTTCTATGTGTGGGACACAACACCAGCAACAGCTTCCTGTGTCCCACGTGTATTGTATTGTTACAATTACATTAAATCAAATCAAATCAAATCAACGTTCAGTCGTAACTCCTCAGTCTCAGAAAAACCAAGTTGTAAGATTTCAAATTCCTCTTCAATGTGAACGAATACGTACAAGTAATACATGTACAAGTAAATGCTTTGAAACTTAATTCCTCTGCCACGCATCTACGACCTTCCAAAAAGGTATCCAGGTGAAATATGAATCTCAGTCTATCTATACTAGGACAAAATTCGGAAACTTTAAATTTGTTTTAAGTTGCTATCAGGGAGTAAGAACTGTTGCGTGCATCACCTGTGGAAAAAAAACATGTCATGTTAAAGGATCAAAATTTGTTTGGAAAGAGAGCGGGCTAAACTCAATGCACGCAGATGTCATCCGCATAGCCAAGTGTCTGTGGCCGTATTGTCAACTTATGAAACCATCTGCGTTCACTTAATGGGGATTTTCAACAGCAGGTGGCACCGTAGATTATTATATCAGTGGATGGGATTTTAAGGGATTTTCATCTATCATGTCATTTACCTGAGGGAAATGATAAGTTAGATGTTGCATGGAGAAGATTACTCAACAATGTAAGACTTCTCCACTTTGATCAGTTTCTTCATACCTTGAAGAAGGTAACAAAAGAGATCTTAGTTATTGAGAAACACCTTTTGAAAAGATCACGAAACACAAGAAAACTATATGTTTAAAGTTAAAATTTTGGTCCAACACAAAAATTATCTCCCCTAGAGCTTTTGACCAGTCACTCTGGTCTTCCTCAGTAGACTGACCCAGTGAAGCATGTCACGTGGCTTCTTTGAAGTGTGACGTCAAAACTGGGTCAAAGGTATCTGGTAGACGATGTCGGCCCCCGTCGCGGTTCAATGTAGGGTGATGGGCCCTGATGTATATGGCTTCCTTCACCCCTCTCAAGAAATAGTCTTGATCAGTGTCCAAAATGATGAACTTTCATGATAGTATAAGAAAACTTTGTTGGCGCGAAGAAAACCCACGAACTTTAGCGTGTCTACCTAATCTTTTGCAGAGATCAGCAGTCGAGCCATCGGAAGGAGAGATGAGCGGGAACAACGACCCAGAGTGATGATGTCCCCGGGGTGTCTTTAGCCGTGCGGATGTACAGTATTAACCGTTACCTGTCATGAACACGTCGGTAGAACGTACTACACCTGCGCGAAACCCAATTCGGCAGAACGTCTCATATAAGGGCGTATTCGCGCATATAAGGTTAACATCCCGACTGTAGTTTCCAAATGTTATGTTGGAAAAGATATCCTCTGCAACAGGCAAAATTCTATCATGAAAGTTCATCTGTGTTGGTAGTTACATTTTTCTCTCACCTAGAGCTTTCGACCAGTCACTCTGCTGCATGGTCTTCCTCAGTAGACTGACCCAGTGAAGCTTGTCACGTGGCTTCTTTGAAGTGTGACGTCAACACTGGGGCAGTCTACTGAGGAAGACCAGACTGACTGGTCGAAAGCTCTAGGTGAGAGAATTTTTGTGTTGGATCAAAAGTTTTAACTTTAAACAGGCAAAATTCTGATGCAACATCCAACCAAAAACGTGAAAAATCAAGGGTTTTGCGAAGACGCAGTACGTTCTGCCGACGTGTTACGTTTGGGCATTTTGAACGTGCTCAGATAGGAGAAGATACAGTAAAATGTTGAACTTTATTCCAACACAAGGATTATGCAGAGATCAAGTTTTCAACGACCACGTCGTCTTCTTCAGGATAATTAATGACCAATCACTTCACAACGTGATCTCGCGAGAGTTACGGTCACAGACATGTGACCTTATTCACACGAGACTTTACGGATACGTGACGTCAGCAATGAATCATTGTTGACGTCACGTAATTATATCATTGGTCATTAGTTATCCTGATTAAGGCAACAGTGGTCGTTGAAAATTTGATCTCTGTGTAATACTTGTGTTGGAATAAAGTTCAACATCTTACTATGATTACTACCAACACATATGAACTTTCATGATGAAATTAGAAGATACAGTATTTTATTCTATTTTACAGGCATAAGCTGAGTGAGTGCTGAGAGAGATAATATGATTAAGAAATAAGTCGGAATCTGCCACTTAATTTGAATTATAGAATACAAGGTGTCTATGGCTAACTTTATGACATAATAGTAAAACTGCATCTTGTGATTATTTTCCTTAATTTTAGAAAATAAAAGATACGGGTATAAGTGACAACGAACTAGTATAACAATAACAACTTTATTTCTGAACTTTGTTGTGTGATTGTGATAGATATAGCCCTTTTGGGAGTTTGCCCGGCCGAGCCACAGAGCGGCATGGCTGGTAAGCTGGTTTTCTGTAGGTTGTCTCGGAAGACCGCTCCCCATTCTTCCGTTGACTCGTAGGCAATGTCGCCTGAGCACTCGGGTTCCAGTGCTGACGCCTGCTTTTCCAGTGCTGAGAGCGCCTCAGCACTGGAAGTCCAGTGCTAAAGCCACTTTCCGCACTGGAACCGAGTGCTGAAAAAGGAGAGCGTGGTTTTCGTAGTTTTGCCTATGTAAAGGAACAAACTTAAGAATGAGTCCGATATAGAATGTTTAATACACAATGCGAACTTTGCTAAAGGTGTTTATGATGATTTGTGTTAAGTGCAATGTTTTTGACATAGTGGTTTGTTGTTGGGATATGCGCCTATGGCTGCATCACGCACAAAGTAGACAAAAATGTATTTTTGAAAACTAGTCTTACTAATTTTTGATCAGATATATTTCAAAACTGCTAATAAGATTGTATGTAATAATGCTGCAACGTTTAGAACTTGCATATATGTTGTATCTTAGGGTTGATACAATTCCTTGTTGAATACGCCCTCATTTATGACACATTTGCTGCTATAAAAAAGCGAGCGATTTCGCTGTTTTAAAAAGAGCAGGTACTCTGAGAACTAGATTAAGAATCTCATATTATGTATGTGTCTGTATGTACAAATGTATGTATGTAGGTACGCCTCATGTAAATGAATGGTGGATGACATCAGTAAACCTGAGGTAGACATATACTACTGTTGTCGTTTTGTCCTAGTATTAAAAGTGTATAAAAGATTCAAAAACAATGTTCCAATGGTGTAATAACTGTCAATGGTGGTTTGTTTTATCGGCTGTTTTATAATCTAATTCTATAGTCCTGCAATTCCAGAGCAAGAAAACTCGCGTGACTTCTTTGCGAGCACAAGAGCTATGTACCGCCCAAAATCTGTGACCCTAGCATGTCCAGATTGCGAGATAGCAAAACCAGAAGTTCTGCTGCAGTAACATAACAAACCGCTAGGAGGCCCAAAATCTAATCATCTTGAGGTGTCATCAAGACCTACCCCCCTACCAACATTAATGGCAATGCATCAAAGCCTTCTCGAGTTATCGTGTTCACAGACACACAGACACAGACAGACAGACACACACACACAGACACACACACAGGTACCCACACACACTCGCGCGCACGCAGGCAAACACACACACACACACACACGCACACGAACGCCACTGAAAACATAACCTTCTTGGCTTGAAGGTAATTACCCTTCCAAGAAGCCTAACAGCCTGGGACAAATGTAGTCTATATTGACCACCTGTAACAATTTGCATAAAAATGCGGAACAAGATGGATGCCTTCCAACAACGATGCCTCCGTAAAATTCTACACATAACATACAGAGACAGGATCACCAACAAGGAAGTATACGACAGAACGGGTACAAAACCACTCAGCATCACTATCACCGAGAGGAGGATGAGGTATGCTGGACATGTCCTCAGGATGACCTCAGACCGCCATGCCAAGACATCTATGTTCTTGAAACCAGAAGGCAAGCGGAAAAGAGGGGGAACCAAACTAACATGGCGCCGTACCCTCCAAAAAGATCTGGAAAGCAGGGGGATATCACTGAAGGATGCCGAGTCTCTCGCCAAAGACAGAGCAGAGTGGAGAAGACTTGCTGCCCAATGTGCCTTGCACGGGAGGAACTAAGTCTAAGTAAGTAACCATTTGCTCCTTGGGTGGCGTATGGGATACTGCCTTGCCAATTTGACACTGTATCGTAGCCACCCAAAGATCTGCTTGGAGATTACGCCATGTTGATTTGATTATATGGATGACATCCGCTCGCGCATGAATTTTCGGCCGTTTCCAAAAAAAAATTCAACCATACTGTAAATCGTACAAAACAGTTGCAATATGAGCAAATATATACCGTAATATGCCCAAAAAATATTGAAAAACGATACAAATATCGTAGAATGCCAAAATCAAACGAGAAAGACGAATATGTAAAGAAATGAATTTGAAGAGTAGATTATTCGCCAAACCATACTCTGTGTCATTTGTTCAACCTTTAAAACCACGTAGATTTCATAATGAAAGCAACTTTTTTTTGCCAAACTTTTTTATTCGCACGCTCACATCAGTTTTTGGGTTCCCAGAGGATGTCATCCATATAATCAAATCAACATGGCCTTACTCATACTAAAGTCAAGGACTTCCCATTATGTGTCGATGTAACTACGTAGGTTCTGCGTCACGAAGCATTATACTTATCCTATCCTTTGTCAATCGTGAAAAAAACACATTCCATTTCAACAATAAAAAAGTAAACAGGAAAAGCTGGCATTCAAAGCAACAAACGGTATCCTATATCGATTTTATCTTTTTTACAGCTCTATCGCACGTAGGCGTATTTCCTATCATCTATTGATATGAACCTGGTTTTCTCAGAAATTCATCCGGCAAATTATGTGTCTACTGTGCCAGATCCGTCATTCAATGAGATATATATAACCTTTGTATAGACATTGCATAAGTCATGTCGTGCAAATGAACAGAAAAGTAGGACAAGTTACAGTCTTATGTATGTATAAATCAATAGATTGTGCGTGCATAGTGCTAGTCCTGTCAACAGCTGTGGGAATTTAGAACAACATGCTCCAACACTGCAACTCCGTGCCAACAAGTTAGCAACAGGAACACACGAGACATTCAAGAAATGTTGGTAATAAGTCCAGATTCATGTATGCTTTAGACTCAATTACAATATAGAACACAGTGTGTTTAGGTTACAGTGTGTTTTGCGGATGTCAACAAGTTAGCAACATTCAACCAGTGTTGTCGGTAATAAGTCCAGCTTTATATATGCTTAGACTCAGTATGTAGAGCACAGTGAAGAGAAAAAAATAGGCTATAGTGTGTTTTGCGAGTGTCAACAAGTTAGCAACAGGAACACACACAACATTCAACCAGTGTTGGTAATAAGTCCAGCTTTATGTATGCTTTAGACTCTATATATGTAGCGTACAATGAAGAACAGAATAGTGTGTTTTGCGGGTGTCAACAAGTTAGCAACAGGAAGTTCACTGTCAGGAACACACACGACATTCAACGAGTGTTGTCGGTAATAAGTCCAGATTTATGTATGCTTTAGACTCAATACATGTAGCGCACAGTGAAGAGTAAAATGGGCTATAGTCTGTTTTGCGGGTGTCTGTTGTGGGTATGATTTTCTAGCCTCTATCAGGCTTCGGGAAGCGGATGCAAAGAGTAGAAATTCTATTTTGGCCAATTTCTACTTTTTCATCCGATATATTCCCGAAGCCTGGTAGAGGCTAATGAATTTCCTTTGTTCACTAGCATATTATCTGCCTATTTTGACCACTTTTTACTCTTTCAGCCGCTTCTCGAAGCCTGCTAGAGACTATAATTGTTCACTTTTATCAGACACCCCATGGGATATTTTCCTTGTAAAATAAAACCACACTGCGTCTTCTCTAGCCTCTACCAGACTTCAAAAGGTGGCTGGAAGAGTAGAAATTGGCCAAGAAATAGAGAGATAACATGCTAGGAGAGTTGGTTCTGTTGGTTTCTGGAGGAGCAAATTGTACTCTCTATCGGACCAGCTCCCTCAGCATGTTATCTGTCTATTTCTACTCTTTTCAGCCGCCTCCCAAAGCCTGGTAGAGGCTATCCCCTCATGGGATTTTCTTGTGAAATATACCACCCTGTGTCTCCCCCTCTATGTGAAGATTGAGCGCCCGCAGTTTAGGCCGGGGGTCACTGGAAGAGCCGCGGATTACGGTATTGGAACGTAAGCCGA